GGGTAAGTATTTTTCAGTGCGCCCACTTCGCTACCAAAGTGAATGGTAAGTCTCCAAGGTTGCCTCGTATCATCTTCGTATATTTTCTGTAGGTTTTATAAATCCTTATAAGCTAATTTTATTTGTTTGTCGACGAAATGTTTGGGGAAATTATTGTTGACAAATATTATATTGCTCAGTTCTTTATGACATAATGTATCCGAAGTTATTTCTGTTCGGTCAATTACGTCAGCTATTTTCTATCTGTGAGGTCATTCATTTTTCTAATTGAGAAATAATAATTCAATTAAATAATATAAGCAATCATCCTGATATAAAGAAAAATTCAAACGCCATTAACTTATTCTATCGTAACCAGATGTACAATAATCTAAAAGGAAATAAGATGAAAAAGCAATTAACAAATATAGTTCGCCTTTACATATCATTTAATTATTGCAATAAATTCTTTAACATTTATTCTCCTCCAGGACGTCAATGACCATGGCTCTCCACAATGTTCTCTCGTATGTATCTTAGTAAAATTAGTCTTTTCGTTATCTTGCCTAAATCCTGTCCCGTTATCACTTTACAAAAGTACGTTAGGTAACGCGCTGTTTTCCTCAATCTCTCTTGCCTTCTCTTGTCAGTGTGAAATTTTCCACACCCCCTTTCATCATTATGTACCCTATCTCTTTCCGATGTTAAGCATAAGTGTGATTTTTGTTTTCATTTTATATATTTCGTCATTGCTCACATGTTTGGTTCATGGTATTTTCAGTATCTTGTAGAACCACATTCCTGTTTCCTCAAGTCTCATTTAATCTCTTCAAGAATTGTCCAGCTTTCCCTGTTATATATATTACATAACAGTTCAGTAATCTTTTCTTCGTTACCAAAATTTTCCTGTTTCTTAATATTTTCTTTAGCTTTGGAAAGGTATCTTTCGCTATCCCAGTACGATTTCGGATTTCACTGTGCATTTTCCGTCTTCTGTTAAAATACTTGCCAGATATTGTTGTAGATTTTTGATTTTGGTATCTCCAATTTGTAATTTGCATTTTGAGGAGGTACTTTTTTTCTGGCATCCATATATTCTGAAATGTTAACTGTATCTTTCTGGTGATAAGTATAAGTGTTCTTTTTGTTTTCATTTTCACTAAAACTTCGTTAAAAATATTTCAAGTTATTTAAATATTTTAAAAGCTTTCAAATATGCAGAACTGCTTATCAAATACACAAAACTAGATCAAAAACTATTTACACAAACCAGCTTAAAAAGAAAAACTATTTTATTATTTTCTCTTTAAAAAACTTAAAATCATCTTAAAGAAAACTTTATATCTTAAAAAACAAATCATGTTCCATCCATGATATTCTCATTATCCTACTGTAGAACCACATTTCTGTCGCTTCAATTTTGTTCTTCATCTGCGTCGAGATGATCCAGCATTGACTGTCATATAGGAGAACTGATATTATATTACTCTTCAGTACTCTTTTCCTGTATCTTAATTCTTTGCTTAGCTTTTGGAAGGTATATTTCACTATCCCAATCCGCTTTCGGTGTCACATTTTCCATCCTCAGTTAAAATAAGTGGCAAATATTGAAATTGAAGCACTTGCTTGATTTTGATATCTCATACGGTTTTAAAATTATCGTCAAATCATTTTTCAGTTACATAAAATAGCTTTTTTGAAAAGATATTTCACATCTAAAAAATATTTCAAGATATGTAAATATTTTAAAAGATTTCAAATATGCATAACTGTTCTGAATAATATCACATACACAAAACTCGTTCAAAAACAAAACAGCTTAAAAAGAAAAAAACTATTTTATATTTTAAAAAAACTTAAAATCACCTTAAAGAAAATTTTGTATCTTAAAAATACAAAATATCTAAAAAAACATTTTTATATTCTTTCTAAAATTTTCTCCTACAACTCCCAACATTGTCGATATAGACCACTTCTCACGCCTCTCCCATATAATCCATCAACATTTATTTAAATGCTTTATACAGTTTATATATATATATATATATATATATATATATATATATATATATATATATATATATATATTATTATTTAAAATTATAACATAAATATGTTATAAAATCACTAAAAAAATATCATTTGTTTCAACACCTCTGCTGTCTTATCAGTGATGATGTTGAATATAGATACAATCATCTTGATAAGACACCAGAAGGTGGTGAAACAAAATGGCTATTTTGTATTGATTTTATAACATATTTATATATTATAATTTTTAAATAAATAATTATATCCGCTCTACTTTGTATTGAGCACTCTTTTAAGAATTGTAATTGTTGGTTATTGGAAATTGCTTTTCTGCTTAAGTCATTATTTACAAAGAGTTCCATACAGAAATGCGCGACCTGTCGGATTTTCAAAGAGAACAAGTATCTGTTGCTCGATTTGCAGATGCATATGTTGCCAGAACGCTGAATTAGTGAATGGATCACGTGCTGTATTGTCCACGGTTGGGAGAGTTTACAGAAAACAAGGCAAAACGTCATCAGCAAAGGGTATTAGTGGACGAAAACCAAAGTTGACCCAAAAAGACTGGCTTGCTTTAAGATTAATTATGGAAAAACATCATAAAACTACTGCAGCAAAAGAGCCTTCATATCTCATTATTCATCGAACCAATGCACTTTCTACATGCAAAGTACTTCAGGAGCTCCACAAGGCTGGTATCCACGGAAGGGCTGCCTCTGATCACAAAGTCGAACACCAAGTTGCGAAAAAATGGTATAAGTATCACAAAAAATTGAACACTCGAGGAATGGAAAAACGTTATTTGGTCTGATGAGTCTTCTTTCATGTTATTTCCTACAAACGGGCGTGTTTATGTGTGGAGAACACTGCGTGAAGCCTTTGAACTGCATTGCATACGTCCGACAGTCAAATATGACGGTAGCTCAGTAATGATTTGAGTGGCAATTTCCTAGTATTCTTCTGGTCCTGTCATCATACTTCATGGTAGAATTACTGCAGATAAATATCTCGACATTCTCAATGACAATGTCCTTACATTGACTAACATGTTGTTACTAGAAACTGCCATATTCCAATGCACCCATACACACTGCAAAAAAAAATGAAGTTATGGTTTGACAAGCATCATAACATAATTAAACATCTTCCATAGTCAGGGCAATCACCTGATCTGAACAGAATTGAACGATTATGGAGAGTTCTAGAGAAGAGGGTGTCGGACAGATTTTCTTCCCCATTGTCGATGAAGCAACTTTCTGAGTCTTTGATTTAGAATGGAATAAAATTCCATTGTAAACAATTCAAAACTTATTTGATTCCATTCCACGTAAAATCAAAGCAGTTTTAGAAGCTAATGGAGGTTCAATAACATATTAGTCAATAAATAAATGTTTAAGCCATGTGTTCACATTATTTTGTCTAACCCCTGTATATTTGTCACACTTTTCACATGCACTGACAGTTTATTCCGATAAAATAATGGTCTTTCCCTAAAAATATGTAGGTCTATATGAGTATACCATTAGATTTTTTGTTCTTTTTTATATTTTAAGAAAGGGTGAGATCCGAAGACGTATTGGGATGGCCAAAGATACATTCCAAAAGCTAAGCAGAGTATTAAGAGACAGAAAATATTTCGCTAGAAACGAAGAAAAGAGTACTGAACTGAATTCCGATATGGCAGTGAATGCCGGACAATCTCCTCAAAGAGACTTGAAACAACAGAAATGTGGCTCTACAGAAAGATGCTGAGGATACCATGTATCTAACATGTGAGCAACAACGAAATTTTAGCAAAAAATGGAAACAAAAAGAAAACTTATACTTAACATCAGGAAGAGTCAGTTAAAATTTCTGGGGCAAGTCTTGAAGATAGAGGGCTTGGAAAATCTGATACTCACAGGACAGATTGGGGGAAAGTGGGAGAGAGGAAAACAGCGCGTAACATACTTGATGGGCTTCAGTAAACGGATGGTAGAATAGGGGGTGCGTTGTGGTGTAATGGCTATCGGCTCGAAATGAGAAAACGAAGAATTTCAGGCGAGTTCCTTACATTCACTTTCGCACAAAAACGCTTGATGAAGGCATGAATCCATCTCTTCTTCCCCAGCTATGGGTTAAATAGCAGGACAGACTGGCTTCTTTAGCTTTCATTGACAACCAATTCGCTGCAGAATAAGGCAACCTACTGCGGGAAATTCTTCTGTCCCGTCAGTCATGAATCGAAAGAGACATCATCGCCCAAGCGTGTATCACATATGACACTTAGAAAAGATTTGTCTCTAGTATTTGACACCGAATAAAAATTTAGATGTTTCAATAAGGTCACCATGTATTCTGCGTTCTAAAAATGTCGTGATTGCAAAGTTTGTTATTTGATTATAGATTTCTTCTGCCAACAGATACAACTAACATAGAAAAGGAATGAGACTAACCGAAAGGAAAGCGATAAAAGAATAGGAGAAAAAGAAAAAAATGGGGTTCAAAGACACTGGCTGCTAAAAATACAGCCATGATTTTTCTTTCATTGGCTTTAAAATGTACAGCCAAAATTTGCTATGCAGTCCTTAGAATCAATGAAATTTTATGTTGTTTTTTAAAATAAAATCATACCTGTGACGCCAGGAGTAGGAAAACAGTAAGCTTTTAATTTGTTTTATATTACTATTGTGCTTTCTTTAAAAACTTGCTTAAGTTCTAAGTTTTCTGAAAAATCATTAAAGGCACCTCCTCTTTATATAGTTGTCAATATCTACACATTTCAACCCAAGAGATTTTACAAATGCCGAAGGGAGCTGATATTAAAGAACGTGTGAAGATCGTCCATTTTCTTGTTACAGGTTCAAATAAGTATTGACTATATTATTGTTGCTTGTGATATAACGAGTTACATAAACTACTGTTTAATTGAACATACTACGACGTCACACTTTGAAAGAACAAAATTTGAAATGATTACGTTCGCACCGAATGCGTATATCTTATGTAGAATGTATTTTTTTCTCTTTTTCACTCTTTCTACGATCTCTCTCTCTCTCTCTCTCTCTCTTTCTTTTTCTCTTTCCCTTTCTGTGGTTTTGCATACAGCCTTCTCCTTAGGTTATTTATCACTATGTATTTTTTCACGCATTTCTTCCTCGTTCTTTTCTACGATATTTCTAAATTTCGCTACCATTTCTTACTCACTCAATATGTTTTCTCTTTTTCACAAACACGCATACACAGACGCCATATGCTTTTTTGTCTCTTCACGTAGATTCCTTTTCTCATTCTCTCTCTCCCTCTCTCTCTGCAATCTTTGGCCCTCTTTGCAATCTGTTTCTCTCTCTCTCTCTCTCTCTCTCTCTCTCTCTCTCTCTCTCTCTCTCTCTCTTCATATACTTTTTTCTCTTTCTCTTTCTCACAACTATTTCTGTGTGCGTGTGTCTTTACAGTTTTTGGCGCTCTTTACAATCTTTCTCTCTCGCTATCTCTAATCATATGCTTTTTTTGTAGTTTCTCTCTCTCTCTCTCTCTATCTATCTATCTATCTATCTCGATTCCTTTTCTCAATTTTCTCTAAAATCGTTGGTCCTCTTTGCAATCTCTCCACCCCCTATCTCTCTCACCACATTTTTTCTGTTTCCCTCTCTCTCTCATCATATTCTTTTTCTCGACCTCTCTCTATAATTTTTGGCTCACCCTGCAATTTTTCTCTCTCACTCCTCCCACCCCCGCTTTCTCTCTATCATGTCCTTCTCTAACTCTTCTTAAGGTGCCTCTACATCAGCCATTTTAATTTTCCGCCTCTATGACACCGACTTCCTATCTTACAATCATCATCTTTTCTGTTAACATGGTATGCCCTTGTCTTATTAGTGATTATTTTCATTTCTTCTAAACACCATCCGTCTTCTTATTCTTCCTTTTGTAAAGATCCTAATTGCACTTAACCAAAACTATAGTGGAAACTATCAGTTACATGATTGACATCTGATTCGCTTTCTACTTTTCCGTCTTGTTTTGTTTAGAATTTCTTGTGAAGCATGTCAGAGTCAAACGCGTTATTAATCCTCCAACACAGTACCAGATTCGGAACCCAGCAGATGGCAACGTGTGAACACAGAACGACACAAGGTATTCCCGCGTCTCGCGCACATCATTTCCAGTGACCCCTTTAGACGTTATCCTCACCACCTGACCATTTCAGTAAGGATGTTGCTGACGGTCTTCCCTCTCTCTTCTTCTTATCTCTTTACTCGGATATTCTTGATTTTATATTTCCTTCTCTTTCGCCACTTATTCAATATTTTTTCTTTCTTTTCTCTTTCGTTTCTTCATTTTCCCACTATTTTCTTTATTTTCTTTCAATAATTTCTTTCTTTTTTTTCGTTCATTATCTTCTTTTTTCATTTTTTTTTTGTTTCTTACTTTTGCTTACCTTCTACTTTTCTTGTTTCTCTGTCTTCTTGTAGAGATGCCCCCCCCATAGCCTTCTCACTCAATATTCTATTGTCCTTTCTTGTAATTTTTAATCTTTCTTTGTCATCTCTCCTTAATATAATTCTGATAACATTTGCCCAAACAATCATTTCAGCATTGATGTTAAAAATGTAACGTTGTGTGTGAATATAAGTGTGCAATATAATTTTTTTTATATGTCGTATCCCTTCAGGACGTTGGCGATCATGATTCTCTAGAATTTTCTATCGTTTACAGCTCTAATTAATTTTTTTTTTACCTCATACTATTCGTTCCGCACTCTGTTCTTCCATTCATTCACACCAGAGTGCTAAGTAGGTCACTCACTGTTTCATTTTGTAGCCTCTATCATTGAATATGTCCTGTGAGTTTCAAAGTTTCCAAGCCCTCCGTCCTCATCATGTGCACTTGTGTTTTCAACTGTCAATTGTTCATATTTTCTTTAAAAATTCCTATCTTCGAAAATGAAGAGGTGACATGAAGCAACAGAAATATGGTTCTACAGAAGCATGCTGAGTAAACCATGGACCAAACATGTGAGCAACGATAAAGTCTTAGAGAAAATGGAAACAAAAAGTAAACTAATACTTAACATCAGGAAGAGACTGCTTGAGTTTGTGGGGGGGCATGTAATGGTGAAGGAAGGCTTGGAAAATCTGATACTCATGGGACAGATAGAGGGCAAAAGGAACGATGGAAAACAACGTATTATATACTTAGTGAGCTTGAGTAAATGGATGTCGAAACAGGGCTTAGTAAAAATAACAGAATGACAAAGTTTAGAGCTATGACAAAGAGCCATGATTTACGTTCTGAAGGACTGGAAAATGAAAGATTACATTTGCGTTGTGTAAACTCCATCCTTCTGAAGTAAACATTTGTTCCTCAAGTTCTGAAGGTTACACGTATATTATAAAACAGCTGATAATATTTAAAACCATAAACGTTTATTTTTTGACATGTTGCGTTATACTATTTGATGCTAATATTAATATGCATATATCAGCATCCTTCTGACTCATCAGTAACACACATTTGTAAACAACATACCCTCAAACCTTTTTTGCAAACCATTTCAATATAGCGCCGCTTTCGCTCACATATTCAGTGGGTGAAATAGGACTGGTCGACTACTATAACTCTTAGAAGCCGGTTCAAGCAATGATATATTATAAAACAGCTGATAATATTTAAAGACCATCGGAACAGAAAAGCGCTTTTGAAACATTCGGACAATTTCTACACAATGTTGACAAAAAGTATATATTTCAATCCAGAATTTGTATGGAAGATGAATAAAAGAAAGAAAATTTCATTTAACTCTGAATAGATTTGGTTCCATACTATTTGATGCTAATATTAATATACATATATAAGTAATTCATCCGTACGATATACTGCCTGAAACCTCAACAGAATGGACCAACTGGACGGTGACTTTTTAGATTGTATTCTCTTCCGATATTTGGGATTTCATCAGCGTTTGTGGATTCGCATCGCGACCGTAGAGCATCATCGCTATGTGGGTCTACCGAGAAGCATGGGCGACCGCAACTGTCCGTGAAACTATAAATTTAGCAGTTAGGTTGCCGAGTAAACAATGTTCGCCCCAATACCAACTGTTCCAACCAGCCTCGGTGCCATATGAGATTGCAAACCAGACTCAATATCCGGTGTGTCTATCTGCTAGATAGTTCTTCCCTCGTAAATCGAATAATTGTCTTCTGGAAATGGGAACAGTTTTAGGTTTGTGATATTCAATGGTGGAACTCGTACTGGCCAAACAGCCGCTTTCGTTTTCATTCCATTGACGCCCTAATGGGTGATTTACCTCCGCACGTAGCTTTCTGGGTATGAGGACTGTGCCCCCTGAAGCCACGCCATTTTAATTACTATCACCACAATCCGGTCATGTTATTGCTCTTAATTTAGGGTCCTGCTCATTAGTTAAAACGCTCTTATGGCGCTATCCATTCGGTGTCCAATCGTTTGCTTCCTCCTGGCTTAACGCCATGGGCATCTCGATAGAGTTTGCCGGGAGATGCTTTTTAGGATATATTTGATAACCGTTCTTTGAAGTTAAAAAGTCTTAATTCATCCTCAGGCTTTGTCGAAGTCTTCACCAAACCTCAACTTCTAATCATGCATCCGGCATGCTTCCAGTCCGTAGACATCCTTCCACTGGCATATCAGGACTGCGTCATTAGTGAATCGTAATGGATTAACTTTAAAAATTAGTGCTTCTGGAAAAAATATCCTAAGCCTGTTTTTGCTGAAGTCCGTCGACAAACAAGTTGGCCTATTCACTTCGAAGGTTCTTACACCGTTCTCGATTTCTTCTGTGATCCTTCTTTTCGACTCTTCATTCGATGGACTGTGCTTTCTACACAATACCTGGTTTACCATTCCAAACCAGGATCTTATGTCAGTTATATTTTTTGGTGTCGGGAAATTCCGTATTGTTTCAGTCATTTTTTATATATATATATATATATATATATATAGTTATTTATGTACTCTATATATATATTATATATATATATAGTATCGTATCGTCAATACATCTTGTTTTCCTGGGCATATAAAGTAATATTAAACCTGCGTGTATATGCGTCTTGCTTGGAATCTTGTGGTCAAATACGGTATCTACCCCATTCCGTGATGAAGGTGTTGCATCTCTTACCGATGGAGACAATATGATAGCCATTCCATGCATCAAAACGGTTTTCTAGTTTCGGACAATCTAGTGATTAATATGATGGGTTTCTCGTAGGGTAGCGGTGTTAAACCGTACGCCTCAGTGACCCGTCCTTTTTCGGTGCAACCACCAATCACCATGTTGTATTCTGGTACAGGTTCTAATGCCCAATCATTCTCGGTCAAGGTGGCTTTTTCTAATGGTGTGGGACCGGGATTGGGGTGTGGACTGAGGTTTGGCCCCCTGGAAAATGGGTTTTTTGCCTGCAAAAACTGGACTCAAAAATCCATCGTTCAAAAAGGGATCCTGTTTAGGTGGGACATTAGTTCTTTGTAAAAAATGGGCACCCACATGGTGCCTTTCCGCCGTCGCTAGTTGCCGTTCTGCTTAAACAGAAAAGGTTTTGTTGAATGGACATATATTATCTTTGGCGAATATCAGCCTTTTATGTTTATTAAGTTATCTGAATTTGACTAGTCGGTACTAGACATTTGTCTGGACACTTCAAATTTTTTGTTCTGGTCCGCTAGAGCATGTCTGTGCCCCATCTGCGATCGCCTTTGGAGGCCAGCTTGTCTATGGATATGTGCCCGAATTCCGCATGGGCCTCTGGAATCAAGTTATCTCTACCAAGGGTTGGTACACCTCTTCGGAACTTACTTTTGTTCCAAACCAGGTGCCTTTGCCATAAATTCCTCTCCTTTTTTGGTTTTTGTCAGGTTGACGACCCTCCTTTTCTTTTCCATCTTGGACGGGTCCTTTGGGTGGTGAGTTCGATTCTGCTCCGACCACACCGCTGTAGATTTGTTGCTGGACCCCTGCTTCGGTTTCCTCAAACCTTTTAAATGTTTAAGCCGCAATTCAAGTCATCTTTTGCTGGGCAACCCCTTGTTCATTCAGGCCGTTGGAGCTCTTCCCACACCATTTGGGGTTCAGTGTCTCTCGGGGTTGATACGGTCTGGTTTCCCGAAGGCCGCTGTTTATTTTGTCGGTAGTAGGGTTTTAAACACTTATTATTGGCTCCGTTGTTTGTCGTAAGTTTACATTTTGCCACCATTTTTGCTACCATATCGTTTAGCTGCTTTACCAAGTCACTGAAAAGTCTTTTTGCGACTGATTTCGTGCCACAAATCGTAATCGATCTTAAACTTTTTTAATCGTAATTTTTTATTCAGGTTTTTCATATCAGACAACAGCCTGTTCACTTCTGGGGCACGGCCCGAGCTCGTTTCTTAACGCTGTTGGCTCCGTCAGCAAAAAAAATCCTTGATCACCAGAAGGAACGTCCGTCTCTTCGCAGGGCGATGATCTCTTGCTGTAGCTCGATGAGCTGTCGAAGTAATGTCTGCTGTGTTTGTTCGCATGAGACGACGTGTATCTGCCTCGATCCTCGTTGCCGTGAAAATGTAAGCGGGCGAGTCTACTTCTGTGACGCCAAGACCAATAACGGCGTTAGGTTCGATTCCACCTCTGCATAAAACCAAATATATATATATATATTATATATATATATATGTTTATTGCTCAAATATAACACCATAATATAAAATATCTAATATAAAATGTGACAAATCGAAATTCCAAGGGAACTAAAGTTCTTATTTGAAAATTTGGAGACAGTTAGGATATTAAACAAATGGAATTTGAGAGCCATTATAAATTCCTCCAGCCTTTTCTCTATTTCTTGGCTCCCGTTTATATTCTACTTGTGTCGTATTTTTGTCGGTTTTAAACACTTATTATCTCCGTTGTTTGCTTTACATTTTGAATTTTGCTTTTTAGCTTTACCAACTTTGTCGCGATTTTGCAAATCTCATCTTAAACTTTTTAATATAATTTTTTTTTTTTTTAAATTAGGAAAAAAATAGAAAACCAAAATTTTATGATCGAAAGCCAAGGGAAAGTAAAAGGAAAAAAATTAAGCCCTTTTTGAGATGAAAAAAAAAAAGTTTGCTAAAAGTAAAAGTAAAAATTAAGCCTTGAGATGAAAAAATGGAATTCCATTATGTCACACAAAAGTGTTATTTACAAATACTATTTGGTCGGAAGTTTCAATACTCAGGAATTTCTATGAAAACCTTTTTTTGTTTTTTTTTTTTTTCGGTTCCTTTCCCGACATCCCCACTTTTCATTTTTTTCTTTCATTTATTCTTTCTCCCGGCGAGAAGGTGAGTAAAAGCGAGAACAAAAGAGAATTATTTTTGAAATAATTTTTTTAATATTGAATCAAGTTTGCTCTTTTAATATTGCTTAAGTTTAATAACGCATTTATTTTTGAGTCTAAAGACAACAGAG